ACACTGACCAAAACAAACCTGGGGACAAAGGGTTTGTTTAGCTTACAGCTTACAGTATATCATCACGGGTCTCCAAGGCAGGAACTCAAGGCCTGATTTGAGTTCACCAGAGACCACGAAGGAAAGCTATCCATTGGCTTTGTTCCCGTGACTTGCTCAGCTTGCTTTCTTATACAACTCAGGACCACCCGCCCAGGGGTGGCACCATTCCCAGTGGGCTGGACCCTCCCCCAGGCCAATCTGATAGGAGTATTTTCTCAATTGAGGTTTCCTTATCCCATATGACCTTAGCTCACTGTAGAAATCCTAAAACCAACAACACGGTGGACAACAACTGGATAGAAAGTTCATGAGAAAGGTCACACAGAATAGAGAAAAGGTCTTTCCTGTAGTCAGACATCCAAAGCCTTAGATCCCATCCACAGAAGTTGGGGGGGCACTCAACAAGTTCTTTACCCCTTTGGGCTTCAGTGTATAAAGTGTCTATAAAGTGGGAGAAATCACTGCTACTGGCAATTGTTGTCTTGGAGATAAGAGTCTATATTCCAAGAGTTCCCAGCTTCTGTTCCTTTAAATACCCATGTCAATATTTGCCCCAGTGAAGTAACCATAACTAGTGAGGTAATTATAATTGGTGGGGTAAGTATAATTAGTGAGGTAACTGTAATTGGTAAGTCAGGCTTAAAAGTTTCCAAAATAAAGCTAAAACCATACAAACTATATGGCTAAGAAGAGGTTAGTTTGGGCTAGTGAGATGGCTCAGCAAATAAAAGCACTTACTGTGCAAGCCTGTGACCTGAGTTCATCCTGGATCCCATGGTGGAGAGAACTGACTCACAAAGTTGTCCTCTGACTGCATGTGTCATGGTACATGAAACACACACACACACATACATAATAAAAGGTTGTTCTTCTACATCATCGAGCATACATATATCCCTGATAGGATCAACAAAGAATACTGGATCTTTTCTCAAAAAGTTAAACAGAATTATCCTAGAACCTTATACCCAAAAGACTGAAAAAAGATAGAGAAGTATATGTACATGCATATTCATATCAGGCCTGTATACAATAGCCAAAATAAAAGTAAAACAAGCATTAATCAATAAATGAATGGAAAAGCATATAATAGTAGATGCATATAAAAGAATATTTGGCATGAAATATTGATACATGCTGAAACACAGATCAATAGCTGAAACATTTTGCAAAAAGGTATACCAAAGACGTAGATTTTAAATTATGGGTTAAATTAAATTATAAGAATGAGTTATGAACAAGCCTAAGTTAAGGCCGAGCTTTCATAATTAATAAGTCTCCCTGTTGTTATTTGTGAGCTGGCTGCCAAAGAAAAGTACTACTACAGAGATAGAATTCAACAGATGTAGTAGTTGTACAAACTAAATCCCATTAATTGTTTGAGGCAACCAAGCAGTACAATGAGGATGTTATCCTGAATTGGGGCTCAGTCTCTACAGAGAAAGAGTTTATCCTTGCCCAGAAAAGGAGGAGTCGTGGGCTGGAGAGATGGCTCAGAGGTCAAGAGCACTTAAACCCCTTCCAGGCTGCTTTTCCAAAGGTCCTGAGTTCAATTCCCAGCACCGATATGGCAGCTCACAATCATCTATACAGAGATCTAGCAAACACATGGTGGCTCACAACCATCTATACTGAGATCTGGTGCCCTCTTCTGGTATACAAGCTGGCAGAACTCTGTATATATAATAAATAAATACATCTTTAAAAGAAAAAAAAAAAAACAAAGGAGGACCCACTAAGGCTCCTAAAGTCAGTGTGCACAGGGGACCTTAATGAAAAATACAGCCCTGAATGCTAAAAGAAAAACCTAGATATAAAGGCTGAGCAAAGACTTTCTCAGTGCCACACCCCAGGTGAATGGCTTCCAATGGTGCTTCCTTTATTTTTTTGGAGGGTGGCAGGTTGTTTCAAGACAAGGTTTCTTTGTAGCCTTGGCTGTCCTGGAACTCGATCTGTAGACAAGTTAGACCAGACTGACCTTGAACTCAGAGATTTGCCTGCCTTTGCCTCTGGGGTGCTGGGATTAAAGGTGTGCACCACCACCATCTGGCCCGATGGTGCTTCTTGCTCACTGAGGAGGGTCAGCCCCACTTTTTCTGACCTCATCTTCTAAACCTATGCTCAACTCAATGCTATAGCAGCTGTCCCTGTTCCTGGGTGAGTTAGGCTTTCTCACACACACTTCCCAATTTTTGCATATGCTTTGCCTTCTACACCCAACATTCCCCACACTACCATCTGCCAGGTCCGCCTCTACCTTTACCTAGTCTTCCAAAGGAACGCTCTTCACAGAGCTTCACATCCAGGAGTATAAACCTCTCTTATGTGTTTCCTTGGCAGCCATGCTGCCCTTCATTATGGTAGTTCTTAAACTCACAACCAACCCGAGGCCAGGACTGTTTTGTGTATGTCTCTTCATAGTCTGTCACAGTACTTGGCACCATAAACCGTGACTTTTTGAAAGAACAAATGAATACTTAATGACAGACACCAGGAGATGATATACCGCTGTAAAGCATACAATTCTCAGACAGGTCTTTTTCTGTTATTTTATTTTAGTCATACTTTTCTTTGATTTTACTGTAATTGGCAGACTTATAACTGAGAGTCATTGTTGACTTCCTGGTATGCTCAGGAAAAGACCTGTCCCCTGATTTGCAAAAGGTAAGGAGTGGCTGCCACTTTTAAACCAGGAAAGCAATGTGATGTTAGCATAATTCTCACAAAGCTTTAGTGACCATGGGCTCCTCTGTCTCCAGAATTACACAAAAATCTGTAAAATAAGCTTCAGAAAGAACAAAGGACTGTCCTCTAGCCTTTCTCAAATACGCCCCCTAGTGTTAAGAACTAACAAGTAAGCTAAGGTAGAAAATTAAATCCAGATCCAAAGCGGTTTCACTGGCCTCTTTTACAATGCACTGGAATCAGCCAGCTATGGTAGAGAAGAGGATGGCTGTGTGAGTGTACCATGCTGCATTCTCTCTCATTTACATCACCCAAAGTGCACTCACACTGCCCAGTCATTCTCAACCAATTATGCCAACCTTAGCTCTGGATCCTCAGACATCTGGGCCTTGGAGAGAGTTTGGGCATTTTAAATGCTTCCAGATGTTGCATCATCACTAGAGATGAAACTGGAAGCCCACCGAAGAAACTGGCAAGTATCTTTGCCTTCTGCTGTGCGGCTGAACCAGCACTGCTTTTCTCCCACTCACTAATTAGGTAATTTAGCACAAATCACTTGCAAACTGGAAAAGAAGTAAGGGCTTTATTATATATGCGGTTGGCAAACAGTAATGCTTATCGAAATTTGGGCTGCATAAGAATAACAAATAATAAAAGCTGTCCTCCATAATGAAAAGCCGGGACCCACTACCTCTGCTCCCTTGCCTCCAGCCTTTGAGTAACGGACAAACTAGGTTACTTCAGAGAAGTAGCAGCTCTCACACCCAGGCCACCTCACACCAGTGGCACAAGAAATGACTCATTTGCCTGAACTGGAGAAAGGCAAATAGTTCCTTCCTGGAAAGGAACTTAAATGGACTTCAAACTTATTTTGGCTTGAAAACTTTAGAAATTTCTTGTTAGTCCACTGTACAAATCTCAAATTCTTTACTCATTTTTATTCAATTTTTACCTTAATTTCCCCTAATTCTACCCAAGATCCATGTATTCCTTTGCCCCCATCTAAAGGTTTCCTTACCAAATTGTGACTATATTTTGAACACTCACAGTTTCATTTAACATCTATTTATCAAAGCTTGTTGTGGGCCAGGCACTATGCCAAGTGCTAGAGAACACAGCAATAAATGTGGTTGTCACCATTATGTAAGATATAGATAAGCTCATGACATGAAAAGGTTAGGTTCTTAACGAAAGCACCAAATGTGCACATGTATGTGTGTGGTGATAAAAGGCTTTGTGAGGAGGCATTTCAACTGGGATCTGAAGAACATGAAGAAGTTGGTATAACACACTAGGAAAAGTTCACCAAGTTGAAAAAGCAGCAAATGCAAAGGCCGTAAGAAGCAAGATTAATAAAGTGTGCTTGCTCACTCAAGCGTTCTCCCTAGGAAACCTTGTCCTACAATCTCTACTTAATAAAAATCCTTAAAAACAAGTTTGAATCCTACCTCTTCTCTCTTTTCTAAGTTATTTTATTACTGTATATTCACTGTACAAGTGATGTGTTTAATAATGGCATTCTTATTGGAGTATAATGTACTTCGTGCTTATTTATTCCTCATTAACTATTCCTTTTACTCTCCCCTTCCTCTTTCCAAAGAGCCCCCCCCTTCAGTTTTATGTCATACACATACACACTCCTAGATTGTATATATAAGGAAAAACATGGGGCTTTTGTATTTGTGGGTATGGTTCACTTTGCTTAATATGATACTCTCCCATTTGCTCACAAATGCCATGATTTTGTTTTTCTTTATGGCTGAATAAAACTACATTGTGCATATAGTACATTCTTCTTGTCCATTCATCCGTTGATGGACTCCTAGGCTTCTTCCATAGCTTGGCTATCGAAAATATTGCCAATCTCTCACTCTCAGCTGGACTAGAAAATTAACTGTTTAAACAATCACGTGATGGTGGTTGGTAGATAGTTGATTCTCACAAAGTTGAAATCTAAGGAAGCCACTGACTGATAACGTTATTTTCAAGATTTTACCAAGTGGAGCAATACTGAGGTGTAAATTATGAACATGATCTACCCAGTAAGAGGAGAACTTTCGTTTCCCTGAAGAAAGGATCTAAAACAGTTGGTCCTCCAGTGCACCAGAGGGCCAAGCAGAAAGATGGGAAACTGCAAAAATGTGCTGCGGAATGGACTTCCACAAGTCTCCAGGATGAAGCTACTACGCGGTCTCCCCTTACAAAGCTCAGCAGCGAGGACTACGAGTCCCAAGATGCTTTGCGGCTACACTGGCCTCTGGAAAGCTTGCTGTAGGACTGTAGCTTGCTGCCCGCAAATGGGCGCCCGAAGGTTCTGTAAGACCCCGGTTTCTTGGAGCGGTAAAGGCGGAAAGAGCTGCGGAAGAGGCGACGGGTTAAAAGGGAAAAGCTCTGAGTCGTTTTAGTAAAGTGTGGCTCTGTGACGAGGCCCAGACTCACGTGGGAGACCCCGTAAATAGATGGTTTTATTAACAGGACGGAAACTACATTTCCCAGCATCCGTGTGTTGCCAGAACTTCATTGTCCGAAAGCCTCTGCGAGATTAAACACGCCTTCCGCTTCCTCTTGCTGACCCGGATCTCCGAGACTATGAGGAGCCGCTGGATGTGGCGGCTCCTACGCCCTGAAGGCGGTGGAGCCCGCTGGACTTCAACTCCCCACGGGCGTCTGTCATCCGCCCTGCGGAGAGGTGAGACAGGGAGTCGCTCAGGGAGACGATTCGGGCGGGTCGTGTCTGCTCGGGCGTACTCGAGAGGGACACACCCCCTGCCGGGCCCCGCCCACAGGCGCAAAGCCACCCCAGGGGATCCGGGCTTGCGGGTCGCGGGTTAAACCCATGGGGGCTAGGAGTAGGGCAGCCGGCGTCCTTGGAGACGCAGTTTCTATGGACCTGGGCTTCGGAGTAAAGGGGAAAGATGCGGGCTTGCTGTTCGGTCTCATAAAGTTAATGAACTCTTAAGATAGTTGCGAGTGTCTTGATTTCTTTGAGTTTACTGTTCAGATTTACTTATTTAGCAACTTGGAGCTCAGGAGTGTGGTAGATTGCAGCACACATTTCAGGTCAAGAGCTTTATTCTCGCCCTAATTCTCGAGTCCTTAAAAAGTCACATAGTAGGCATTTTTTTAAGTTGAACCTCTGCGTTTCCAAAACTTGGACCCCTCTGTTAGTCCGTATATCCTGAAGAGTATCTTACTTTATGCTGAGAACTATTTCCAAGGCATATATATATATTTGCTTTTCCATTTTTAAAACCACCACCTCCTTCTGTTCTTCCTGGATCTATGATGATAAACTGCACCATTCAGTACTGAAACACACCTCCTGCTTCCACACTTGTGTGGCTTGTTTTCTTGTTTTTGTTTTGTTTTTAACCTGTTCTTTAATTTTATTTACATCACTGACCTGAAGTCACGGCTGCCCTTGTAAGGCTGCTGTGCAACTAACCAGAATTATTCACAAGTCTTTGGTTACATATTTAGGTAACTAGTATGCATATACATTCTGATGGACTTTTCAAAAGGGATGAGGAGATGGATCCACTGGTAAAAGCATGTACTGCACAAGCATGCTAACAGGAATTTGAATCCCCAACACCCTCCTCATAAAAGGCTCTTGCTGTGGCCATCAACCAATTCCAGCTTCAATGACAGCTGCCCTCTCAAAAGAATTAGGTGGGGCATGACAGCAGGATACCAAAGGCCTCTGACCTGTGCACCCTCACCCTCACACACCAAGGGCTAGCATTGTTTTGAGAAATAATTCAAATCTCGATTCATCTGTGTGTTTTTAGAAATTTGTATAAATAAACATTATTTTAAAATATATGTCATGCGAAAAATATAACGCCCCAGGTAAATGTTACTATTTTAATACAGTTGTTGATTTATTCCACTTGAGTCTGGGTACTCAAGTAAATCTTAAGTCTTCCCTTAAAATTAGTGCATGGTTTGTGCTCCTGTTCAATGTAACAGGTATTTACTGCTTACTGTAAATAAATATCAATAGCCAAGCAAATTTGAAAGCTGATCTTTATTCCACGAAAAGACCTAATTATCTAGTCCAGTACTCTTTAAAGGAATAATAAATAGGAAGATGTGATTTGTCTAAAGTTTCTCTTCAAAGTGCCACGTTATTAGTTTGTTACTAATTTCTACACTTAAGTACATCAGAGACATTGCAGATGTTTCGTTTAAGTACAGATTCCCAAGCCTTATGGCTAGAATTAGTACCCAAGGGCAGAAAGCGAGCATTTTTGTTAGTTCATTTAATTTGCCATAGATCTCCTGAAGCAACATACACAGCTTGTCAGTAGGCTATAATGTAAGAATATATGCTTTAATGGGTATTCTTTGAATTCCTATAGAGAAGTGACAAGCTAGGACCAGCCAAGATGACTCAGCGAACAGGTACTGCTGCCCAAGCCTGATGATGAGATTTCTGTCCTGGGACTCATGAGATGGAAGAGAACTAACTCCTGAAAGTTGTCCTCTGACCTCCACACACACTGTTGCATCCACGCTCACATGCATACTCCATACACAAATACACAAATAAATAAGAAAACTAACTTATTATGCCATTGAAGTGGTTCAGTTATAAAAAACAGGCAGTAAATTAATAAAACTTGCAACTTAGATTTAATGAACTCTATTTTATATGGTTATTGTTGTTGTTGTTGTTGTTTTTCTGAGACAGGGTTTCTCTGTGTAGCTTCGGAGCCTATCCTGGAACTTGATCTGTAGACCAGGCTGGCCTCGAACTTACAGAAATCCTCCTGCCTTTTCTTCCCAAGTGCTGGGATTAAAGGCATGTGCCACCACCATCCAGCTTTTTATGCCTTTTTAAAAAGTAAATTCTGACCTTTTCCAGCAGAAAGGCATGTAGTACAAGATAGGCCAGAGATCTGATGTACAGCTTAGTAGTTTTTTAAGTTGGTAAGTCTTTTAACTTTGAATTTATTTTTGTCACTGTAAATACACAAGATGAGTTTGAAAAAAATCAAAATGAAGAGAAAGAGATAGGGTTTTTATAGATATTTGGGTTTTGTTTAGATGTCAAATGTACTTTTAAGGAGTATTTATGAATCCAATTGCTCATGGCACAGTCAAGCCAGTGATCATGATACCATATCAGGAACATTCAAAGGCTTCTCAGTTCCGTTTTTGCCTTCAAAAGAGAAAAGAAATTCACACCTTAACTCACTCAAAGTCCTGTTGCCAGAGACCTTGTCAACGCCCACAACAGAGACAAAGTCACATAAAAGAAATAAATGGGCAGGCAAGATGGTTCAGCAGTTCAAAACACTAGCTGCTCTTCCAGAGGACCAGTTTGGTTCCCAGCACCCACCTCAGGAAGTACTTCTAACTGCCTGTAACTCCAGCTCCAGAGGATCCAGTTTTGTTTTGTTTTGTTTTGTTTAAGATTTATTTATTTGTGTACATAGTGTTCTGCTTGCATGCCAGAAGAGGGCACCAGATCTCATTATAGATGGTTGTGATCCATCATGTGGTTGCTGGGAATTGAACTCAGAACCTCCAGAAGAGCAGCCAGTGCTCTTAACCTCTGAGCCTTCACTCTAGCCCAGGATCCAGTTTGTCTCTTTGTTTGGGTTTTTTGTTTTTTTGTTTTGTATGTTTGTTTGTTTGGTTTGGTTTGGTTTTGGTTTTGAGATGGAGTTTCTCTGTGTAGCCATCCTGGCCCTCCTGGAGTTTGCTCTGTAGACCAGGCTGGCCTCTAACTCACAGAGCTCTGCCTGTCTCCTCCCCGCCCTCCCAGTGCTGAGATTAAAGGCATGTGCAACTACCACCACCACTAGCTCCAGAACTCTTTTGTAGCCTTCACAGGCATGCACACAAGTAACATACGGCATGTACACCAGTGGTTTTCAACCTGTGGGTCATGACCCCTTTGGGTTTCAAAGACCAACCATTGGAAAACACAGATATTTACATTACAATACATAGCGGTAGCAAAATTATACTTATGAAATAGGAATGAAAATAATTTTGTGGTTGGGGGGTCACTACAACTTTAGGAACATTATTAAAAGGTCACAGCATTAGGAAGTTTGAGAACCACTGACGTAGGCTTACACATACATGTAAGTAAAAATAATAAAAATAAATCTTAAAGAAATATCCCACATATCTTTCATTATACTTAGCCACATTATAAATAGAACCCAAGGTAGAAACGACAGTGTTGCATGCCTTGGTGAATTTTGCCCATTCTGTTGATCTTTAAAATTTCTTATCTTTAAAGATTTTATCTTTAAGATTTCCTATAACAAGTGTCATTTCCAGATAATCTTTATTCCCATAAAAGGATCAAATGCCTGTTTTTGCCCCTGTGGATATATATTGAAATCACATCATAAAAACCACAACCTTAAAAGTCCAGAGCAGAAGTACACACCATACAGTCTTCTGCTCAGAAGGCTGAGATGGGATCATCTGAGCCCAGCTGTTGTTTTTAACAGAATCTCAATTGTTCAATTTACTTATAAAGACTTGGGAGCCAGATGCTGGAGTGAAAGCCTGCTAGCTCAGAGAGGCAGAGATGACCTTCCTCCTCCACCGACATCCCAAAAGCCTTTTCCTCTCTCCTACTGTCTCAAACAAAACCTTCTCAAACTCCAATGTCCCTCCCTCCCTTCTATCTCCCGTGCTTCTCTCTATTCATCGTCCTGACTCCCTCTTATTCTCCTTTTTTTCTCTTAATAATCCTCTGTTCACTCTTGTCATCCGGTTGCTTGCTCTACCTCTTGACCTATGGTTCACTTTATTTAATCTTGTTTACACTATTCAAGCAGAAAGCTCTTAGATTAAAAGTGTGTGCTAGGGCTGAGCCACACCACAACTATAAACAGGTGTTCCCAGTAAAGAACACAATCACAGTGTGTGGTTCACAGTGTGATCAAATATCCTGTAACACATCTGAGACAAACGTGAACAAGTCTCTGACCTCAAAACATCATTCATCATTGTACATACAATGCCAAACATAGTCCCTGTTGTCCAACATGTATCTTTAGAGCATCTAAAACCATTGGGTACTGGGAACCCAATGGAGACCAAGAACAGATGTAGCCCCTACTCTCAAGGTTTACTTTGGTGGTTAACAAAACTTTCTGTGTAAGGGGCAAATGGTAAATGTTTTAGGCTGTGTGGGTCATGTGGTTCTCTCATTGAAGCATGAAAGCAGCCATAGAAAACAATTCCAATAAGTTTTATTTATAGAAACAACTTTGAAGACTGGGTGTTGGTAGCCTGAGGGCAGCAGTTGACTAATGCCTGATCTAACGGGGAACTTACACATTGTTAATTAGTTATGTAATAATTATTTATTATATAGTTATTAATAATTAGTTGTGTAAATATGAAAATTGTGAGTGGTGTTATAAAAGAATATCACAAGGTACTTTTAAAACCCATTAGGAGAGATCTAACCTCAGGAATCCTTGCACACTTCCCACCAGAAAAGACATTTGTGCAGAGCTCTGAAGAATGAATTGGAATAGGCAAAGGAGAGCTTTCAGAACACAGGCTGTGCAAATGCCCCAAGAAGGGAAAGCAAGCAGATGGCATGTTTGTCGTTAAAGTCTAAGAGCCAGAGCGCATAATAGGATGTTAGATTAGCTGTGCCTTGCCGAGATTTGTTGGCAATGGTAAGGTATTTATTTAGTCTCTATCCAAAGGAACTGATTTTTGTATGAAGCATTCATTATTTATTGACTGAAATCAGGAACTGTACCAGTTTGAATACCCATGAGACCTAAGTTCTAAGATGTATCATACTTGCCTCTGAACATCACTTTCCTCCATCAATAAAATGACAATTTTAAGAATTTGGTAATGAGCATGAAAATATTGAAATGTTATGTAAGTATTCCTGATTCTTCTCTAAAGTAGAATAAACTTGTAATGAGGAAGCAGTAACTAAGGGTACAAGTCATCACTCCTAGTGCAGCTGTATAGGGCAACTACTGAAATCTACAGTTCTGAGGTATATTTTTCTCTCCTACTTTGGGTGTGACACACAAAAGCACATTTTTTAACCCTTTTTTAGGTGAAACTCAGCCAAAAGAAGGCTGACTGTGCTAGTTTATTTAAAGCATGGTTCCACCTTTCCAGCTGCTGCTTTTATCTCTTTGGTTAAACGGAATTCAGAGGCGAGGCTTTGATTTTTTTTTTTTTAATAACACCTATTTACTGCCTTCCAGTCCACAAAATCAGTGAAGACACCAGGAATGTCTGGCTTCAGTATATATTGCTCTGTGCCTAGCACACGACATGGTGTTTAGTCTACATTCGTGGCTATAAAAATATTTAAAAAGAAATTACACATGCACTATAAATGACTAGCATAAAGTAATGCCTGAAGTTGAAGCCGCTGTTTAAGTACCTAGATATATAAGTAGCTTGGGATAAATAAGAGATAGACAACATAAGGTGATAGAAAGAATGTGAGCTTTGTAGTCAAAAGAACCTAAACTGGAATTCTGTTACCTACCACTGGGTCTGTAACCTAAGCAAATTCCTTTGCCTTTCCTAAGCACCATATGGTTTGGTCTAGTCTGGTCTGGTTTCAGTATGTAGCCCAGGATAGCATCGAATTCATGCTCCTCTTGCCTCAGTCTTCTGAGTACTAGAATCACCATATCCAGCATGAGTACCATATCCAGCATGAGTACCAAATCCAGCATGAGTCCCATATCCAGCTCTAATAAGCATGGTTTTTATTTAAAAATGTGAATAATATTACTTTGCGTTGGCAGCATATAAGTTATCTGGTATAATGCCTTTTATTTGACTATTATACTGACAGCTGTTATCTTAATGTATCATAATAGTTTTATATGTGCAGAATTCATCCTCAGAGGAAATACTTTATAATAAAATTAGTAACAGAGAAAAAGACTATATTGTGTCTGAGTTAAGTTTTGGGAATTTAATGGAACCAGGACCAGAAGACTTCAGAAATGAATGGGCTCCTATACTGACCAGTAAATGCTCCCGGACTTAAAATCCAATTCATCAATTGTGACTCATCTGTGTATCAAAGTGTTGTTGTATGACAAAACTTTTCCTGGGGAGACACAACACACACACACACATCTACTCACACTAGTTAGGAAGCCCATGACAAACCAAAGTACAGATAACACCAAAGTCCAACTTGGTGAACCATGAGTTTTATTGTGGTTACTTACAGGATTGGTGAAGGTTTACTTACAGGAGCAGAAATGACTCAAAGTAGCTGTCCCACCCTAGCCTGGGTGACAGCTCACAAAGCTGGGAATCTGGAGCACATAGTACAGGCTGCAGGCAGCTCAACAGGTTGAAGTTTCCTCTAGGAGTCTTCTTTCAGTTCAGTTTGTCTGAGTCTTCTTAGCAACTTGGCTTCTGGAATCATCTATGCAACTTCCTTCCATTCAAGAGGGTCTCTCAGCTTGTATTGCTTACTCTGGTGTGTTGAGGGAGCTGTAGTGAATCTGGTCAGTTTTAGGGACTTCCTGAAGCTATTTTGAGTTGTTTACCTTCCTGCTTAAGGAGTTTCCCTGCAAGATGGAATGTTCCAATCTTGGAGGAAACTGCTACACAAGTGCCCTTAAGGGTCCTAAACATACAGTAACAAAAAAATACAGCCATGGCAGCATAGGACTTACAGTCTGAGTCAGAAAGAAAACAGCTAACATGCTAACTGTATTAGTGACGAAAACTGTAGGAAATAAATGTTGTGGGTACATAAGAGAACAAAGGGTATGTTAGGTAAGAACATATACATAGAAAAGTTTTGTAGCTCTGTAAGAAACTTCTGGGAACTGAAGAAAGTAGGGCAGATGCTGGTAATTAGAATAGAAGCAGTGATGTCCAAAGCAGTTAATATATGTCACATTAGAATTTAGACCAACTCTTAAAACATTTCTGAATGATGAAAGAAGAAAATGAAACGTGTTGAATGTTTGATATGTACAGAATAGCATCAGAGACTTTTCAGATGAAAAGAGTTCAGGAGAGTCAGTTAATTTTGGTGAGATTACAGGACTCCTAATTAGGAAGCTAGAACTGTATTTAAATAGATGAGAAAAGCTCTTTAGAAGCCAAAGTGTGATACCACTGTAAATTATTAGAAGATAACACTGTCTTCTCTTTTCAGGTTTCTTAACCACCACAACTAAGTCAAGTTATGACAGGAGGCCAGTGGACATAACTCCTTTAGAACAAAGAAAATTAACTTTTGATACCCATGTGCTGGTGCAGGACTTGGAAACTCATGGTGAGAAACAAGTACTTGAAAGAAGAAAATTAGCAGCACTCAGATAATAAATTCCCAAGTCAAGACAGGGGCACTGTTACCAACAATTAAGAGGAATTTTTGAAACAAGTGCCCTCCACACACCACAATGTTTTATAGTCACTTAAAATTGTATTGTTGGGGAAAGATATATTGTAAAAAAAATTGTATAAAGTTATATGTACAAAATAATTCCAGTGAAGTAAAATAGAAAAAAAAAACTTTTAAAGGCTAATAGTAAATTCTGGATTGAAGTATAAATGTTGAAGAATAAAAAATTAAAGAATAAAATATTTCCAGATATGGTAATACCTTACAAGTGAACAGCTAATTGACATTGCAGAATGGTATTCAAAAACATTAAATTGCTTACTGAAATTCTAGATAAACCTAAATGTTAAGGAGTTCTTATGAATCAAAAAAAGAAAGTTTAGTAATTTTATAGAACAGTAGGCAAAGGCCATGTAAAAAAGCAGTACACAGAAAAATAACTAAAATGTATGTGAAGGTACTTAACCTCACTATCAACCAAGGAGAAATTGAAGTACAAGTGAAAATAATACCACTGTTGCCGATTATATAAGCACTATCAAAAAAGACTAGAAGTGTTCCGTTTTGTTGTAGATCTAGTTATATTAGGAATTAGAGTACTTTTAGAATAAGATAGCATTGTAACTGTTTTAAGTATAATAGTTGAAGTGTTGAAAGTTTGTTAGCTGTCTCTTCTGCTAGTAATGTGATGTTTTAAATGCCGATTTTCTTGTTGTGTGTAGGATTTGACAAGACACAAGCAGAGACGATTGTGTCGGTACTAAGTACATTATCAAATGTCAGCCTGGACACTATCTATAAGGAGATGGTGACTAAAGCTCAGCAGGTAATATGTCCATTGTTTATCACTCCTGGGAGTTTCATTAGATCGTTTCTCCTAAGGAAGGAGGAAAGGAAGAATTTAAAAGACCTTCATAGAGTCTGTCTCAAAACAGAAGAACTGGAGTGTCCCTAACAGTTGATAACAAGAGTGGAATCCAGTCATCTTCCCAGTGTGAAATAAATGTGGTATTTCAATCATGAAATGGTGGTAGACTTTAGTGAAACACCTTTTCTCCCGGAAAACCCTCCAAAGTAGAAGAGTTAGTCTTTGTATACGATGACACGTTTACTGTTTTTATGTTTGTATGGTTAATCTTCCCAGACTTGGAAAGCTAGAAGGGACTAACATGGCTAGAAAAGACTATAAATTACCTGGCTAAAATGTCTAAATCTGACTGGATATGAAATTCAAAAAAAAAAAAAAAAAAAACGAAAAAATGTAAGCTGGGTGGTAGTGGTACACATATTTCATCCCAGCACTTGGGAGACAGAAGCAGGCAGATCTCTGAGTTTGAGGCCAGCCTGGTCTACAGAGTGAATTCCAGGACAGCCAGGGCTACACAAAGAAACCCTGTTTCAGGAGAAAAAAATTCTTTTAAACATTATTTATTGAGGGTGGGGGTGCAATGCCATGGCACAGGCATGGAGGTCAGAGAACATCTTGCAGGAGTCAGTTTTCCCCTTCTGCCACGAGGGTCCAAGGGTTGAACTCAGGTTCTAAAGTTTGCCAGCACACATGCTTACCTACTGAGCCATTTTGTTGACCTGTGCATGGGTTGAGTGATTTTTAAGACTTTTCAGATTTCAATGATAGTGGACAAAAATAAATAAGATATTGAACTGTTTAAAAATCTGTTTTCTTCTTATAATTATTTTTTCAAGTTTAGTCTTTTTTTTTCTTCTGTTGGTTATTTCAAAACATAGACATAAAAATTTGGATTTCTTACATAAAATTAGAATCTGTTTCATGGAATTTAATTATTTTAAGGGTTATAGAAAATCAAAAGCTCTTAAAGATACTATAATCCTTAATTGGAAATGGAAACACTTAATCTGTTATATTTAACTTGCCTTTCAATTTTGCATTATTTTAGCTTACCTTATTTCAGGGTCATCACAGGCTAGTAATTAAGTGAATAAAAAAAAAAAAAGCCATGCATTTAATTAATTCTCCCAAAGCTCTCATCTATCTTCTGTTGATCTATCCAAAGGAGCTATTGACATTTTCAATAAAATAACATACTATTAAATTTTATGCCTGTTTTTTGTGCAATTAAAACTATGATTTGGGGAATATTCCTGCTGCCAGAGCCACATAATCCTACATATTAAAAGTAGCATAAGTGTAAAAGTGTTACTATTAAACTCTTGGCTTTTTAAAGTACTGGTTTGTGACGTTAAAAATACTCTTTCATCCAGGAGCCTAACCCCACCTCTAGGACAAAAGAAAGCACAAAGATGATATGAAGGATAGAGCTAAGGTTCAGGGCCATCTAGCAATCACACTACCATCTGATCACTTCAGAAAAGGCCACTGTAAGTCTGCCGAGACTGATGACTCCACAGACGGTAGAACAGTCACATAAAATAGCTGTGGCTGCTTACAATGGATTACAGCTTCACATATAAAGGTTTTGATAGGCACTTGTGCTGTTTTGTAGACTTTTGGGATCTCAAACTGTATTTCTATGAAGAATGTAGGTAGTTGTTTCTGTTTTACCAATAGGGAAACCAAAGACGTAAGTAACTTTTTGAAAGTCACACAGAAAATGGCAGTTTAGGTTCAAACAGCTTTGTAGACCATTCTCTTTGTGAAATTTGACGATGTGTGCGTTGTTGACCCTTTGAAGACTAAATTGTCTTAGCTTTGAGCTAACTTAGTTTCTTGACCATGTGTCTGAAGTTGCTATGCCCTCTGTTACTGAAAACTGAAGTCAGTTTTCAGTCTTTCTTACCCACACCAGGCAGTGGAGAACTATAACTTTAGAACTGAACTGTGGCTCTTCTTGCATGGACCTTCTTGACTAACAAGCCCTGGAAATATGGCCCTCTCAAGATTACACATTTTTGTTTTGAATCACCTAATTTTAAGAAGTTGATTATGGAACCAGATTTCTTTGTAGGGTTGCTGGGAGGCATTTCTGCAGAAATGTTCTTCTGCTAGGTGTAGTTAATGCACACTGAGGCTGAGGCCAGAGGGTCAGGAATTTTGTTGAAAATGTTAAAGTTAATTTTTCTCAGCTGTACAGGATTTATTACAAAAACTAATAAAGTATTCTCTTATTTTTTAGAATTATGTAGATCAGGACCTTTTCTGCAAAAATCAAGTTTAAAGTTCTTCTTTATAAGGCAAATGCTTATGAATCTGTCAGGAGTTACCTTTCCTTTCATATTTTCTTAGTAGTGTCAAATATAGGAAAGAGACCAGGAAATGTAAACAAAACTATTATGTTGTGCTGATAAAGGGCAATTATTTCAGCTGTGTATCTTATTTTCTTTTAAAACCATACCTATTCAATATCTTAGTATTTTCATGTGGTAGAAAAGTCTCTCAAAATCAAAACACTGAAATATTATTAAAAAACAGAACTGAGGGGCTGGAGAGATGGCTCAGCAGTTAAGAGCACTGGCTGCTCTTCTTGAGGTCCTGAGTTCAATTCCCAGCACCCACAACCATCTGTAAAAGGATCTGATTCCCTCCTCTGGCACACATGAAGACAGAGCACTTATATACATAAAATACATAAATTAATCTAAAAAGACTCTGAAGCACTATTTGTTCAGGAACTTAACAGGAGCTACATAAGCACTTTTGTTAGAATTCTCTTCATTAAAAGACCTAGATATTTCTCTTCACTGGGAGATAAAGTTTTCTTCCCTGAATTTCCTCGTTTTTATTTTTATATTTTAGATATGTGGATTTCATGTTATTTTTTCTGTAACCAGTAATTGTACCTGTTAGCATGTTGAATTCTATAAAACAATTAAAAAATAAAAGGATGCTACCATTCCGTACATCACTGGGTTATTTTTATTTTATTTTCTAGGAAATAACAGTGCAACAGCTAATGGCTCATTTGGATTCCATCAGGAAAGACATGGTCATCCTAGAAAAGAGTGAATTTGCAAATCTGAGAGCAGAGAATGAGGTGATAGAACTTTTAACTTACTACTAGTAATAAAAAAGTAATTGATCTCACAAGGATGCTACTTAGTAAATAGTAAGATCATATAATATTATGTATTAAAAGTTTTTAAATTAAAAATTCACTGTTTAGGGGCTGGAGAGATGGCTCAGAGGTTAAGAGCACCGACTGCTCTTCTAGAGGTCCTGAGTTCAATTCACAGCAACCACATGGTGGCTCACAACCATCTATAATGAGATCTGGCGCCCTCTTCTGTATACATAATAAATAAATAAATCTTTTAAAAAAAATTCACTGTTTAAAGCTGGGCATGGTGATGCACACCTTTAATTCCAGCACTTAGGAAGCAGAGGCAGGTGGGTGGATGTGTGGTTGAGACCAGCCTGTACATAGCACATTCCAGGCCAGCTAGGGCTACAAAAGGAGGTTCTGTCACAAAAACCAAAAACAAAATTCACTGTTAGCCTTACCTAATCTTTATCTGTAAACCAATTTCTTGCATACTGAGTACATATTGTAAGTTGTTTATGTAAGAGGAGAAAAATTTGAGCTCAGTATAAATTTTCTAGTATAGCTTATCATACATTGTTCCTAAAACTGAAAATACTGTGATGTTCTCCATTTTATTTAATGCTATGCTGTCTTTGTCACTATGAGAAAAATGTATTTAAAATATTATTTTTAAATTCTGTTTATATGTATGTGGCTATGTATATATGGGTGCAGGTGCCAGAAGAGGGCATCAGATCCTATGGAGTTGGACTAACAGGCAGTTGTGAGCAACTGGGACATGATTGCTACAAACCAAAGTCAGGCCCTAGAAGAGCAGTAAGCACTCTTAACCACTGAGCCATCTCTGTAGACCCTCAAAATGTATCTTTGTAGTTAAATCAGAAATTAAGTTCTTCACTAGCCTAGCATTTAAGATTAATTTTTAGGGAGAGGGGCTTAGGATGGAAGAGGAGGGGGACTTTAGAGAGAGACATACCTTGTGGTACCTGTAGAGGTATCAAATCCCCTGAAACTGGAGTTACAGGCAGCTGGTGAGCTATGAGACATGGGTGTTGGGAACTAAACTCAGGTCCTTTGAACTAGGGGCAAGCAGTCTTAACCACTGAGCCATGTCTCCAGCCCTAGCTTAAAGATTTTAAAATTTAAAAAAGCAAATCATTTTAAAGGTAGAATCCAATACCAAAACTAACTGTTTTCTACCTAATATTTGTTTAATGAACACAGTGGTCTGCTAGTTCTTTATTTTTTTAAGTCATAATTGTGTATTAAAAATCCATAGATATGCAAATTTTGCTAATCTAAGTTTTCAAACTTTTAAAGTAATCCTAGGGACTTTTGGATTGATGCTAATTGTCACCTCTTTTATACCTAGAAAATGAAAATTGAATTAGATCAAGTTAAGCAGCAGCTGACTGTAAGTGAAATTTATTCCACTAATTTTAGAACAAATACCCACTACAAGATCATTTTTTAAAGTACTGATTTTCTTTAAAGCAAGAAACCAGTCGAATCAGAGCAGATAATAAGTTGGATATCAACCTGGAAAGGAGCAGAGTAACAGACATGGTAATGTACTTTTTAAAAAATTAATTGCATTTTATTCATGTTTTGGGTATGTGCATTTGTGTGGGCACACTGGTGAGGGTCAGAGGACTGACTTATGGGAGTTAGTTTTCTCTTTCCACCTCCGGGTCCTAGGATAGAACTGGGTTGACAGGCTTGGTGGCAGGTGCCTTTAGCTACTGAGCCGTCATCTCACCAGCCCAGGAATGCGCTTCGGAAGATTTTTTAAAATCATGTGTAGATGTAAGTATGTTGTGTCCCCACATGAGTGCAGATGCCCTAGGAGGCCAGAAGTGTCCAGTCCCCTGAAGCTGGAGTTATCTACTATTGTGAGCTGCATGATGTGGGTGCCAGACATCAAATTGAGGTGCTCAGGAAAAGCGGCAAATTCTCTTAACGGCTGAGCCATTTTCCCAGCCCCTCCAGTAATGTGTTTTTAAATTAAATAGTTATTCCTTTTTACATTATTTATAACCTGTTTTCATTGTTTTTGTTGTGACACATGCAAGGTGAGAGACAACTTTTCAGAGTCAGTCTGTCCTTCACCTGCTGTGGGCTCCAGGGATCCCACTCAGGTTGCAGGCTTGTGTGGCAAGTGTCTTTTCCCGTTGAGTCATCTTGCGGCCCCTTTTTTCCTTTAACCTTCTGGCTTCATATCCTTTAGTTCACGGATCAAGAAAAACAACTTATGGAAGCAACCAATGAATTTACTAAAAAGGTAAGGTTAATACATAGAAGTTTTTCTTCCACTTATTCATGTTCCTTGCTTGTGTGACCACTCTTATATCCATCAGTTTGTAAGCTTGGATTAAATACCTAGCCTATAGAATGTGATTTCGTCACTGCTGCAGTTTTCTAGCACTCTGGGGAAAGCTGCCCCTAGGAAGTGGGGTTCCATGAGCTACAACCCTGGAGTAAGAATGAAAGCTTACCAGGGCTAGAGAGATGACTGAGCACACCACAGTCACAGAGGACTAGAGTTTGTCTCCGAGGCTCACATCAGGCAGCTTACAACCACCTGTACCTCCTGTTCCAAGGGAGCACATGCCTGATGCCTCCAGCACATATCCACACACAGACACACACTCTAAAATAAATCTTTTTAAAATATGAACTAAGGATTAGGCATGGTGGTACATGCTTTTAACCTCAGCACTTGGGAGGCAGAAGTGGATCTCTGTGAGTTCGAGGCTAGCCTAGTCTCTACATAGCGAGGTCCAGGTCAACCAGAGCTACACAGTGAGACTCTGTCTTGAAAATAACACCCCCCTCAAAAGAATTAAGTTTTTCATGACATACTAATTTATTTTTATATAGACAGTAGCTACTTTTATAAAAAAAAAAAATTCACTACTGTTTAAGTAAATGTCTAGATTTAAATAAACAAATATCTTTAAATTTTTTAAATCATAGTAAATATACATGTACTTATGTCTGCTAATGCATTTAATCTTCAGGTCAGCCTCTATAATTAGTGTTATTTCTACTTTAGTAGTTTGGAAAATGATACACAAAAAGGTTAAAACCACACAGCCAGTAGTTGATAGAGTTGAGATAAGAACATAGATTCTAGGGGATGGAGAGATGGGTCAGTAGTTAAGAGCATTGGCTTCTCTTCCAGAAGACCTAAGTTCATTTCCAAGCACCCATATGGCAGCTCACAAGTGGCTTTAGTTCCAGGGGATCAGACACCCTCACAAAGACATATACATGCAGGCAAAACACCAATGCATGTGAAATAAAAATAAATAATTTTGAAAAAAGAATACAGATTCTAATCCAGAAGATTCTAATCCAAATGTGGTATGTAATCCCAGAACTCAGGACTGTAGTGAGTTTGAAGCCAAACTGGGCTACTATGTGATATCCTGTCTCAAATCAAGAACCCAGGCTCTAAACCCTGTACTTCGGGGTCTTGTTTACATTCTCAATAATCCTGTAATATAATCATTAAATAGTAAGTAAACTCTCTAGCTTTCTGATTTAGCCTCATCCTTTTCTTAAAAAGTTCTCTTGTTCAGAATTTAGTAGAAGGGAAGATCACCTGTGCTTTCAGGAATCCATTTTCATATACTTCTTGGCCAGAGAAAGTAGATAATTAAGGAAATGAGCAAATTCTCTCAGCTAATTTCTGAGTTCTGCTCCCTATATGTGCAAAGTTACCCACTAGGTATATTCCGGTTCCTTTTATATTGATCTCCATTCATACTATATATAACCTTGGATGATTTTTTTTGGCAAAATATATTTAAAATATGTCTTTATGGTTAAAGTGTTAATAATATTCCAAGGACTTTACACATAAAATGATAGGTCTGGGGCTAACATGTTTACTTCTTAGTTTATCATATATTTAGGTCTCGTATATCTTAAGAGATTTTTAGTAAACTATGCCCAGTATTGAGTAATTCAAGGAAATTGTCTCCAGATAGGAAATTGGAGTAATGTTTTTGTCACTTGGTAGTATTTATTTACTATCAATTCAGAGTTTTTTAAATGCACTATTAACACACAACTGAAGGTTTTAATATAAATGTTTTTGTCCATAATACATAGGGACAAAAGTAAAACTGTCTATTCTGACTTGCTACAGGATACCCAAACCAAAAGTGTTATTTCAGAGACCAGTAATAAAATCGACACTGAAATTGCATCCTTAAAAACACTGATGGAGTCGAACAAACTTGAGACAATTCGTTATCTTGCAGGTAAGTCTGTCAGAGTAAGGAATTGCCGACAGGGAATCTTTGGATCTGTTGGGTCCTACCTGTCAGGATAACCATTCCAGGTCAGAGAAAAAAAGGAGCTAAAATGTTCTTTATTGCTTGATACCCTGTTCTGCTTGAAGAAGGTTCCAGTTTCAACATCGAAATTGATTAGGCAACTGGGCAGTTCGCTTAGAGAAAAAGGTGTCAGGCTATCAAGTAAATAAACCAAAGAACAAGTGGTAAAATAATTGAGCAAATTCCACAGTAAAAAAATTCATTTTATTGTAAAGATTTGAATGGTGTTAGAAAGATGACTAAAGTCGATGTAGGCTGTTAAAAACACAGCGAACAGAGAGGAGTGGAGGGTACGGAACCATCTTACCTCAAGCCAACTGAGCACACAGGTACTGTCCCCAAACTGGCTTGTCCCTACTGAGCTCCACAGCTTCAATCTCTCCTAAGTTTTATGGCCCCATGTGATAAGAAGAATGCATTAATTAAGTATTACTTGTCTGTTTCCTTTTTCTTAAAAGCAATATATTTTCATTTAAATTATCCATATAAAAATTCAAGAGCAGTGAAAATCCCCTCGCCTTCTTTATTTACTATTAGCAGTTTATATCTTGTCTGCTATATACAAGTAATATATAGACTTGTAAAAAGGAATTACACATGATAATTAACTCTGTGTTTAAATGTAACTATATGTCTTAAATATATTTTAACAATACACATCTTTTTATTACAAAAGATAGCATTCTGTTGTATCAAAATGTTATAATTTCCCCAACAATGTTGCTTTGGATTCTTCATCCTTAAGAGCATTGCTACTCTGAACATCCATATATGTGCATGCTTTTCTAAAGACACACACCTCTATACCCTTGTTGCTATGCACATTTGAAAATTTGGAGTCAGAAGGCACACCTACTTCAAATGTCTGTATTAACAAAATACTATATAAAAAAAAAAAAATCTTGATCATAGTGGTTTTCTGGCCAGCCACTGTTTTGTGGTGATTTGGCAATTTAGAAGATGAAGGAGCCAGCCCTCAACTGATGTATAGCACTTTTCTTAACTCTGAAGGCTCTGTTTTTTTAATCTCTTTAACATTAGATTCCTGCTTAAAATTCAGATTAAAAAATAATTCTACAGCTAGGCTTTGAAAACCCCTATTCTAGAAAAGTCTGTAGAACTGAAGGCCATGAGCGTAACTGTAATGCTGAGGGAAATTCCAAACAGCCATTTGGAATGTTCATTCTCTTCTAAAAATCAGTCCCAAAGCAACAAATGCATGGTTTCCAGTCTACCTGCCATTTTCCAATATTCTCTTGAGTAGCCACCTAAAGAATACCATAGTTTAAATTACCCCTTTTACTCTTGAAGTTGAAGATGGTGACATTTTCCAAAAAAGCTTCCATTCAGCAGTTTAGATCTACAAGGCAAATCTGATAGACTTAGTAGTAGCAAAAGAAATAAGCAAATTTGCAGTTGTTTTAGAAAAGATTTTCCTGGGTCTGGAGAAAAGGCTCAGTGGTTAAGCACACTGGTTGTTCTCCTAAAGGACTAGGGTTTGATTCCTAGCACCCACGTTGTGGCTCACAGTCATCTATAACTCTAGTCCTAGGAGATCCAGTGCCCTTTTCTGGCCTCCACAGGCACAAAGCGCACACATAGTTCACAGACATACATGTAAAATACACATACACATAAAAATAAATAAATAATAAAGATTTTTCCTGAGTCATCCTTCTTTTGTTTTTTTCACTGAGCATTTAGAACCAATAATATGAGGCACTTTCTCTTTCCTCCTTTTTTAAATATATTTTAGTACTGTTGTTACTGATAAGCATTTTAGGAAGCGGCAATTACCTATTTTTAAATAAGTAGAAAGATATGGCATGAGTGGATCCATTTGTCCTAGAATACCTGAGACATTGCTAACATAATAAGGTCCCATTTATTGAAGATTCACAAATACCAGGCATGGTAGGATTTGGCTGTCGATTTGGCCAAAACTTATAGGCTTAGTCTCCCAAGTGTCTGGAAATACAGGCATATACCATCTGTGCCCAGAAACCTCAACTGAGAAAACACCTCCATAAGATCAGCCTGTAGGCAAGCCTGTGGGGAATTAATGATTGATGTGAAAGGACTCAGCCCACTGTGCATGGTGCCACCAGCCTCTGGACAGGCTGAAAGCAGGCTTAGTATGCCAGTTAGCCATCTGGTTTTTGCTTCAGCTCCTGTCTCCATGTTCTTGCCTGGAGTTCCTGTGCTGACTTTCCTCAGTGATGGAGTGTGACCTGAGAGTGTAAGATAAAATAAACCCTTTCCTCCCTAAGCTGCTTTAGTTATAGTGTTTATTACAGCAATAGAAACCCTAAGACACAGTGCTAGTAACTTTGAGGTACTGCTTACATTTTCTGACAAGACACATAATATTTTTAAATTATTTTCATTTTTACCCTCTAAAACACAGGAAGCTATTGATGTAAATCTTGCTTTACAAATGCCTTTTATCCTTAGTTTAGTTTTCTAGGGAATAAAGAACATGGGATATAAATTTGATTTTCTTTGTTTCTGTTCATTTAATTATTATTTTACTACCTGAAACTAATTAAACTCCAACTTAGTTCCTTTCTCTCCACAGCCTCGGTGTTCACTTGTTTAGCAATAGCATTGGGGTTTTATAGGTTCTGGAAGGAATATTGACACTCCTGCTGTTGGCTGCTGATCACTCCAGAGAATGGATTTACTACAAATCCTCCAAAGTACTTATGGACTACACACAAGTGTTTGGGTATTTTACTTTTCTGTTGTATGACTTTGTATGTTGAAAAGCTGTCTCCCAAAGCCTGGTTTGAGATAGAAGGGCATTTGGTCCTTATCCTTTTGATAACTACAGCAACAAAAACAGTTTTGCATTTGAGCTTTGTAAATGAAGTAGTATTTGTTATCAGATTGCATACTTGAAGACAGTTCCATAGTCTACATACTTACTGGATTTTACTTCCCTGCTTATTATTGCAGTTAGATTTTTATATAAAATAAAATACTACAACAAAGTTGATTAGATTTTCCAAGTGACTTCTTATATAAGTAGAGATTTTTTGTAGTGAATAATAAATTTTAAAATAATGTCTATCCCATTGCAAATGTGTTATACTTAATATGAACTTTATAGAGGTACTCTGATTATTATGTGTATCTTTTAATTTTTTCATATGTACAGCAGTTTGAGTGGTGGGTTTTTGTGTTTTGTTTCATATAGACAGATTTTTTTCTTTGAGCCACCAGCTCGCAAAATACGACACAGATACTTATTGATTAATGAAAGCTTGGCCTTAGCTTAGGCTTGTTCCTAACTAGGTCTTATAACTTAAAATAACCAATATCTTTTCATCTATGCTCCTTTTTTTTTTTTTTTTTTTTTTTTTTTTTTGAGACAGGATATCTATTGTTTTGGCACCTGTCCTGGATCTTGCTCTTTAGACCAGGCTGGCCTCACTCGAACTCACAGAAATCCGCCTGGCTCTGCCTCTCGAGTGCTGGGATTAAAGGCATGCGCCACCACTGTCCGGCTATCTTTGCTCTTTTACGGCTCAGTTACCTTTCCTCTGTACTTGCCCATCCTGCTTCCTCATCATCTGGCTGGTGACTCCACTCTCCCCTCTCTCTCTCCTGAAGTCCCACCTATCCTCTTCCATTCGGCTCTTGATTAAACTAGTCACAGTGGCACATCTTCACAAGGTGTAAAGGAATATTCCACAACAGTTTTGTTTGTTTGCTGCTACCAGGAATTGAGCCTAAAACTTAATACATGCTGGCTGATGAGGTGTTCTACTGCCCACTATATTCCCCAGCACTTACTCTCACCTCTCAAAACTATTTCACAGTAACCCATCTCAGATTCATTGTATGAAACAGACTTCTCAATAGTTCATTTAAATTCAGCAAACCATCTCAAAGAGAGTTGGGGATTGGAACTTCCTGGACCCAAAACAGAAAAAAGGAACTCAAATTTATATTCTTTTCCTTTTGTTGTTATCCAGTCTTCCACATTTTTCTTGGTTTTTGGGTTTTGTTGTTGTTGTTGTTTTAGGGAATATGTGTATATACAGATGTGTTGGTACATGTGTATGCATGTGGAAGCCAGACATCATCAGTGGGTATCTTCCTCATTCATTCTGGATCTTTTTTGAAACAGGATAGATCAATCTCAATCTCTCTCTCTCTCTCTCTCTCTCCCTCTCCCTCTCCCTCTCCCCCTCTTCCTCTCCCTCTCTCCTTTGCCTGCCCCCCTTTCCCTCTCCCTCTCCCCTCTCCGCTCTTTCTCCCCCCTCTCACACTCTTCCCCTCCCCCTTTCACCCCCGAAGCTTGGGGCTTACCATTTCTGCTAAACTGTCAAAGCTCAGGCACCATCTGTCCCTGCCCCAGGTGATGGGATTACAGGCACAGGCTGTACGCCCAGGTTTTACACAGGTGCTGTGGATGCAAGCTCAGGTGCTTCAGGCACTTTATACATTGAGTCATCTCTCCAGCCTCTATTTTTCTTACATCTTAGTTCTCTATCCAGATTCAAAGTGCTTAGCATTTCACAATCTTGTATAGTATTAGAGGGACCAGCCTTAATATTATACATCCCAGGGGCTCAGGAAAGAGAACTACTAACAGCGAGGACTATTTTCAGGAAATAGAATCTCAGCACACTGAGCTCTATAGTCCACTGGCTTTAATTCCTCCTGGCATAACAACATCCACATATACACAGCTTCAGTTCTGTTCTCGTGCCTAGCTCCTTTCTTGCCTGATTTCTCTGTTTCTCTACTGTTCCCTCTTAAGTTCTATCTTAATTCTCTCATCTTAATTCTGCCTCATCTAGGTCCTTTTCACCTTGTTCTTACCCAGCTAGGGCTTTCCCATCTGACTCTTCCTCATCTTCCATCTCGTTCTTCTAGTATTCTTTTCTAGCCCTTCAATCTAGTTCTTTTCATCTCAATTTGTTCCTCTCAAGTTCTTACCCATCTAGTTCTTCCATTCTCTTTTCTCTTCTCTGTCCTCTCTGTGCCCTGGAAGTCCTGGTATATACACTTACACGCAGTATTCCCTTAGCAGTGCAAAGCCAGGCTTCCAGGATCAAAGGGAGGGATGATAAGAAACACATAGGGAGGCAATAACCATTAATAATCATTTGCAACCCCAAAGGGAAGTGACCAATGGGGAAATGAATTAACTAAAGGCTAAATTCAGGTAATATCTAAGATGAGGGCTCTTATGTGCTCAACTATAATCTTAAACGTGATTGGTAGAAAATGTTAAGAATCTGTAAGTTGCTAGGTCAATGGGAGAAAATAAAACTGTCTTCTTTTTTCCTGTGACTCATATCTGTCCACGCTATCTGCCATTTTTCTGCAGGGTGGGGGGAAATGCTCAGTCTCTAGGCAACCTGTACAGCTAGATGCCTGATCTGATCTCAGCAATCAGGTTCTCCTGATGATACCAGGTTAAAATAACCACCAAATATCTTGCTGGCTCACCATAATAAGAAAGAGGAATAGAATGGAAATGTTCAGAAACTAAATCAGAACCACAGCCGCTTTTTGGTCAACAAAAAACAAAGTTTCTAAATTCAAGGGATTATGGGGGAAAGGAAAAAACAAGTTATGTGCTTTCATCTTGCTGAGTCTGCCTCTTAACTATATTCCCATAAAGCTTGCAGCAGAGAGCAAAGATGGAATTCTGAACCAGATTATCTAAGGGGACATTCTTAGCAAAAGTATAGCATGGGCTGGTTTTTTTTTGTTGTTGTTGTTTGTTTGTTTTTTAAGAGTAGATTTTCACTCACGTAAAGCTTTTGAGTGATATTTGGTAATTGTTGTAAAGCTGTTCTGTGTAAAAACTTACTACTCTTTAAAAAATTTTCTTCCAAGTCTAGATACTTTGTAAAAGTTAAGTCATTTGAATAAATAAAATGTTTTGTCAAGGTGGGTGAATGTGTTTAGGTGCATGCATACATTCATGTCGTCCTAAGACAATCACTGTGGAAGCCAGCTGCCACACATTCATAGTACTCCCTCCCCAGTCTCCTAAATGCTGGATTTAGAGGTAAGCACTGTAATACCTGAGGAAGAACAAAACTCTTAAAACTATATGCACATTAGTAGCTAGTAAATACCACTTTCTGGACAGTAAAAAAAATACATACAACTTTAGCTGGGCTTGGTGGTGCACGCCTTTAATTCAAGCACTTGAAAGGCAGAGACAAGTGGAGCTCTCTGAGTTTGAGGCCAGCCTGGTCTACAAACAGAGTTCCAGTACAGCCAGGGCTGTTACACAGAGAAACACTGTCTTAAAAAAAAAAAGAGAGAGAGAGAGAAGAAATATAACTTTATTATGAAGCCATAGTGTCATTTTAATAATGTTTATTATCTAGAATTGGATTTCCTTTGACTATTAGATTGTTCCATCTTATATTTCACAGTTTATATGAATACTTGGAAAATTATTACTCACAAATGTTGGCTTGCATGTATATGTGTATAAAAAGTATCCTGAGTCCATGGAATTGTTTAAATCCCTTTGATAGACATTTTCACCTTCAGAACTGAAGGATTTCTATTGATTTACATTTATATCATGCTTAAAGTGAAGGGAAAAATCAATTGTTTATTTAACCTTATTACACTGATTAGTTAGTACCTTCTCACAAGCGTGCCCCCAGGAGACTTTTTTTTCACTCGATGCTTCTCTTTGGTAGACTCAGATGAGTCCTCTTCCTATGAACAAAGAAAAGAAGAGTCAAATAAAGCTTCATGCTAACATTCTTTAATAGCATCCAAAAAAACGAAAAAGGAGCCATGCTAAGTATTTTCCGCTCTGATTAAATTTCCTTTAGGAATTTGTATAACCACATCCCCAGATCTAAAGGACTAGTGCTTCGTGTTGTGCTGGATCACAAGACTGCCATCTCTGCTTAATATAAACCCCAAAGGGAGCAACTTGTCACTTCTGCTTTGATCTTGACTACATTGTCTGCATACCTGTGATGCAGAATTCGGTAAAATGACTTCATTTGGAATCCTTATGGAGCCTACAGGGCCAGGATTTATACTTCTTAACTTCTCCATTCCTGAGTTTTTGTTTGTACAGTATTCCTTTCCAACTTTTTTCATTTTCCACTTTGTCCATTGTTGTTTTATGTTTTCATCTCTTTTGGAGGCCTGCCACTCAGCTCCCAAATAAATCACACATGGAGGCTTATTCTTAATTATGAATGCCCAGCCTTAGCTTGTCTTAGTTTCTTGTCAGCTTTCCTTAAATTATCCCACTATCTTTTGCCTCTGGGCTTTTCTTGTTCTCTTACTTCTGTAAATCTTACTCTTACTCTGTGGCTTGCTGTGTAGCTGGGTGGCTGGGTGGCTGGCCCCTGGAGTCCTCCTTCTCTGACTCCTTCCTTCTTTTACTCCTCCATCTTTTTCCTTCTCTCCTCCCAGATTTCTCCCTCTATATCTTCTCTCTGACTGCCAGCCCCACCTGTCCTTTCTCCTGCCTTGCTATTGGCCAGTTCTTTATTAGACTATCAGGTGTGTTAGAAAGGCAAAATAACACAACTTTCAGAGTTAAACAAATGCAACATAAACAAAAGTAACACACCTTAAAATATTATACTACAGCCCATCCGGCACTGTTCCTGAAACTCTCATCATCTTGGTATTCACATGACCTAACACAAAAGAGTCAACAAGTGCTATAGGAGGAGCAAAGGCGAGGACAAGAGCACAACACATGGTCACTGGATGTTGTCATTGCTGAATACTTATAGTAAAAAAGGCTGTGCATGCCAGTGAGCATGGGGCAGGCTACATGCTCACAAATGGTTGGCCGACACTAAATAGGCTCCATGGTTCGGTTTTGTCTTATTTTTTTTGGTTTGGATGTTTTGTGTGTGTGTGTGTGTGTGTGTGTGTGTGTGTATGAAATTTGTTTGGTTTATATGAAGAGTGGGGGGTGGGAAGGAATATGACCAAACTACACTGCACAAAAATTTTTAAATGATTTTTAAAAAGAAAATGCCTTATTTAGGCAAGACAGCTGTGAACACAGGTGTTCCTAAAACAGCCTTTCTGGCACATGTCCTTGGGAAGAGCTCATGACTAGAGTTACTTCCGAAGGTATTCCTGCCCAAGCCTTTGCTAACTCTTGAACACTAGCATGTGAACATGGAAGCTGCTACTATCCAATACAACCTGGAAAAACAAAACTGTGTTTCCATACCCTTCCCTCTGCTCTGTTCCTGAAACTTAACTTGGAATCATCTGAGTTCTTAAAGACAAAATCTGTCAGAATTGTCCACAAGTCCCATCAGAAAATGAGAGAGAATGGCTTACAATGGCAGTAACAGCGATGGGAAAAGCACGCTTGGATTTGGAGCTAGGCAGATAAAATCACAGCTATCTAACAGACTGTCGTAACTTTACAAACTGTTTTATCTGGCACTAGGTTTCTCAATTAGCATGCTAAGCAAAAAAGGCTTGACATTAAGCCCGATATATAATTACATCATGATACCTATTATTGATGATGACCGAGATCTCAAAGTATGATCTCATGAAACTTAAATTTCAGTACTGTGGGTAAAGTGGTCAACCTCACTAAAAAAGTGAGACGCCCTCAAAGCAGTATAAAGTGCTTAATGGGAAGAGTATCTGTGGTTAGGAGCCTTGGGACAGAGTAACAGATGACTCCTAGGAGCTTTTATGGGGGAGATTTGATACGGGACCTTGAAATGGAAGAACAAAGGCTTGGTGCAGGAAAGTATGTGCTAAGTTGGGAAAGTA